CTCAGACTGTGGCGCAGGATCGGGAACGTTGGAAGCTCTCTCTGACGTATCTTCCTCCGCGACCCGAAGGGAGAAGCGGCGATGGAGGATGAAGATAAAGTATTCAAACAAGACACTAAATAGAGAACTCGTGCATCCGTGTTCAGACTTAGAGAAGCCACCCCAGAGTAAGCCGATGGTACTTCTGCCGTACATGCCTTAGGTGTCTTCGCCGATCAGATGGTACTTCAACAGTATGCAAGCTGCAGTCTGCTATAGGACTGAAACGTCACTGAATTTGCTCCTGTGTATGAAGCGCTTTTCCATCAATCCCACAAGGGCGCTAAACGTCGTCTACGAAGTTCACTACGAAGACTACGATAAGATCAGGATTGGAGATATCTACCCGAAAGTCGAAGATGCGAATAAAAGTCACTGCATCTGCGGTCCGCCTTCAGAAGCTTGTCATCTTCGGTATTGCCTAACACACCATTATACGGGGACGTTATTTCGTTCAGCGGGCGTTTCTGTATTGGACACACACCACTCAAGACTCAGTGTTCTGATAAGAGAGACCCTTCATATTTTGGTACAGAACATCGAACTTGCAGTGAATACTCATGTTCCATCATAATAAGCGAAAACGGGCACTATCATAAGCTTGATAAATCAGCATCCGGTCTGACATCATGAGTGAGTCAGATTTGTCACTCCTTCTTTCTAGTGTTATGTTATTTGTTGTTCGCTTTTGCCTCACGTTCTATTTTTGTTTGTGTGATTCTTTTTTCCGGTCTTATCACTTGAATCGTGATGATGCTTCTGGTGCTGTGACGAAACTCTTGATCCGTCAGAGTTTCAGTATCACCCTTTTCCGTGCTCTGAACCTTGAAGCGTCATATTTGTTACACGTCTTATCGAAAACGGAAAGTATTGCTTGAGATCATTAGTATTAAGCAGTATTCGCTGAAGTACGTTGTAATGTTTTTCCTTGTAGCGTTTCTTTGACAGTTCAGAGATTATTGCAGGATTAGATGGATGGATGACGATATTAAGTGGAAGATGTGAGATAGAATGCAGCTTTCACGCTGCTTCGATGAAGATTCACGAAGCTTATAAGCGTATATCGTCTTTCTTCTTAACCAGGGGCCATTTGTCCGTCTGTCAGTCTGGTCGTGACTGATCTTTTAAATACTCGTGCTTTGCGGCATACGTCGAAATGCTGTTTCGAATGACGAGGGAGTGGTGATTTGCACAATCCTTCTAACGGGGTTATTCTCTTTATTGCACAGCAACAGTTCCATGTTGTTTCTGCACTTGACGATTTAACGTATTCCCAGCGTTCGAAATCGCTTCTTAATCTTGGTCTGGAAGCATACGAAGAATATCGACTCTTGGAAGATGTTTGGCGATTTTGATCCGATATGTATCGTATGTAGCATCTATTTTCTTCTGTCGAAGACAACGATGCGAGACGCGTCTGTCGCTGTAAACGTCAGAAACATTAGCCTCCATGTTTGCGTAGTCTTCTAACCAACAGGAAGGAATGGGAGGGGTGCTGTATACTGTAAATCCTGTGGAGTTACAGGATATATGCTGTAATCGTGCCGGGGAGTTTTGTGCATATTGGCATTTTCTGGCATGCCAGCCCGCGCTTGCAGTGCTTTACTTCATATCGTTTCCAGAAACATCATTTGTAAGGAGCGCTGAACAATTCGTTTTTCGATCCTTTTATCTTTTTGATGTGTAAATAATTGAATATATTACTATGTATGCGTAAAAATGACACAGTTGTTGGACGGATGAATAACTTCAAGAATTTGCGTATGTTAGCGTTAACGAGGCTTATACGTTTCTGCATTTCGGACCCTCGCCGTTTCATGTAGTCATTTAAAGTACACTCTCGGGATTCGCTACGGCAGTGATATAAAGTGCCTGTACTTGTGACAGCGCCTTTGTCATGTATTTTGTGTTCGGGTTTATTCTGATTAATACCGATTTTGTTCGAAAACAAGCAGTGTACTGACTCTACAGTGTACCGAATGCTTGTCAAGTACGATTTGTTATCTGTCGATTCAGGACACATTCAGTCCACTTTTTGTGCTGTTTTTTAGTTTATGGTTTAAGTGACGAAATTTCAGGGCTGCGAGAACCTGTCCAGCTGTTATCACCGAGCTGTGCTGTATTTGAAGGATATGACACTAACCTGTAACGCTGTCGTGCTCGAAGATGCTGTACTGGCGATCAAGGTTGTGTTGGAAGAATTCGCTGTTGTGTTCGAAAATGACGTTAGGATGCAGCATCTTGGAAGCGCGGTAGTGGGCAGGATGGCGAAGAAATTTCACGGAGCTTTATTACGAACCTTAAATTTAAGCTAGCGAAGAACGTTTTATGTACTCAATTTCACTGTGTACTTCACTCTAGTCTTTAACTTGTGATTACTCTATTAACGCTTTTGAATAGTAAAGTAATTGTTATGATGTCTGCTTCGTTTCGAATGGTTACTAGCCGCATTCCTGACGGTAGAAAGCACAGAGCGAGTATCATCGTTCCAAGGGTTTTGCTGCTTGAAAGTATAAGCATCTGCCTAGTTACTTTCATTTCAAGATTGAAAGTACTTTCCACCAGTTGTTTTTTCTATCGTCATTTGGGTGTTGTGCGCTGAACAGTTTCGGTTGTCTTCGAATACTGTCTAGCATGCAGGAGATGAGTCTTCAGAATACTTTACGTATTAATTGCTTCGAGAGATTACGAAGCTGCTCATTGTACTTTTATGTGAACAAACTGCCTAAAGGAACGCAAAGATTTACGGTAGGCAAACTAATTGTTCGGCTGGTGAACTGGACTTGATAAAGTGTTTTCTGTGATAGAAATCAATTTAGTTCGATTCTAGATCAGCCCTCACAGATTTTCATCGTAAAACAACGTGCAAAATAAGAGCAAATGTAAATTTCGAGTTGGCAAAGCATCTTACAGGGCGGACACGATATAATATTTTTGAACTCGGGAAACATTGTAATACCAGACCAGACTTAAAAGCGTATAGAATGCTGAGACAGCCGTAACAGACAATAACGTAATTAACGGTCATTAATTACGGCCAACGCTATCATGACCATGGTTCTTCAGTCCTTGAACGGTCCTCCTTCGAAGAAATGTTACGCATGTAATATAATATATAAGATGCATGCTGTGCATGATAGTATACAGTCATTCCCCGTTTAACTTCGAGCTTTTCTAGAAATGTAACCGTTAACCAAACCAGTGTTATGTTGGATCAGTTTGCGTAATACTTAACGCTGCTGCTGTAAAATCGTAATTTATGACGTACTTTCAAAACACTGCAGATATTTGAAAATATACCCAATAATTCCTCCGTAAATTCGCAATATCACTCGCTGACGTGAAGAATACCAGAAATTATCCAATATTACAACCATTCCGACGATACTGTCATTTTCTCGCTACCTAGCAGGATCCCCATATCTTCGGCTTATAATGAGTGCCCCTTTTTAATCCATACTTTTCGGTTCGACTCCATGTAACAGGCAGTTACACTGTAAAGTACGCCACGTTCATTGCTCAAGATATCTGAGAATGGCAGATAACCATGGATTTCATGTTTAATCTCCGTAAACATTACCTCTGAGCATGACAGTGATTCAGTGTTTAGTTTTCCTCTCTTTCAAACTCCACCGTTGTTCCTCCCAAGGCCCGAGAAAGGTCGCGGACAGTGACGAGGTCTCCATCAAACTTAGTTACCTCCCCTCGTGATATTGTAG